AATAAGAAAAGAAAGAAAATTAATAATAATTAATTAGGAAATTATTAATTTAATAAAACTATAAATTAAGTGTGACATACATGGCTAATTTAATAAAATAATAAGACTAAGGTCGCTCTCAACAGCTCATCTTCCCAAGCAAATTAGGCAATCGTGTATACAAAAAAAGAAATCTGTGTAAGGAGAGATGGAATTAGTGAAGGGGAGATGTAGCATCCTCTCCTACTAAAGGGAGATACCAAATTTGGCTGATCTACATTAATAATACCGATTTAAGGCATTTTCATATGCCATTTAATATTAAATCTCATGATAATAATAATATAGTAATAATAAAGTCCTTGTTATAAGAAACTATTAGAGAATCATTCCAATTGGCGATGATGATTTTTTTCTTACGAGCTATTAAGATTGAGAAGCATCAGTAAATGATGGATCCCATTTTTATTAACTGCTCACAAGATTTTACATCTTCTAGTTTGAATACTTTTCAGATATCCAACTTAGATGACATCATTATCATTGATCAAGGTAAGAATTCATTAATGATATTATTTTTCATGTAAGGTAGTGCTAAAAAATATTTATAAACTTGAAGAGATGACTGTATGATAACGTAAAGAATAGAATTACAATGAGATGCTTATACTGCTTGAAACCATCTCAGAACATTGGAGAAGTCTTAATAATACCAAAAACAATACTTATAGAGCCAGAATTTGGGAAGTCATGTTCGATAATTTCAACAAAAAATCACCTGGCAGAATGCTAACTGCTTTCAGAAAGAGGTCTCTTTTTCATTAATTCATTTTTAATTCTATATAACAATATTTTTTATATTTAATATTATTCTTTATTAAGATGAGACAAACTTGTTGAAGATTATAAACTTGTGATTGACAACAATAAGCGTACAGGAGCAGAAACTATGCATTTTGAATACGAAGAACAAATGTAAAAAATATTTGAAGATGATCCAGTTTTCAATCCAGTTTATAACTCTGACAATAGAAAGGAGATGGGTTCAGCGAGCAATAGAAAGAAAAAGAAAAAGGAGGAAAAAAAGTATAAAAGTCATTTGGCTACTTTAGATGTTATTAAAGAATTGCACAAAGAAACAAGAAAAGAAAACCATGAATTTCAGAACAAATTATTGAATATTTTAGGAGAATTGATTTCAGCAATTAAAGAGAATGAATAAATATACGTCAAAAGGTTGAACAGGCACATCAAAAAATTTAAATTTTATTAATAATTCAATAAATCAAAAAAATTATTTATAAAAGTTAATAATTTGAGATGCTAACACCCTACGAAAAACTACTCATTTTTTTATACTTCAATGCAAGGATATGAATAATGGATTAGTCTGAGTATAGTAAACTAACTAGGTTGTTTCTTTTCTGTGTAGCATTATGTAAACTTTGTGAATTTATATCTTCATTAACGTCTACTATTTCTTCACTACCATCACCAATACATTCTTGATCATATTCGTTAGTATCCCAGATATCATCACAATTAATGCATAAATTATGAAGAATATAATATACATCGATTATGTCCACAATTATTTCCATATCAGTAATTTCCATAGTATTTTTGAGAATGCACCACCTGGATTTGAGTTTTCCAAATACCTGCTCAACTGCCATATGAGCAGAAGAAAGGGCTTTATTAAATTTTCGTTAAGGTGTAGTGAGTCTTCTTCTGGATTGCTCTTTAAAAGAGATAAGAAGCCAGGGTAAAAGAGAAAATGCTGAATCACTGAGAATATGCGTATTATTCAGAAAGTGACTAGACAGATTCTATATAGATTTATGTAAGTATTAAATTCTATTCAATACGTTAATGTTAATATAAAAATACATACATTACAAACCCGCACCCAAAAATTTGTCTGTTTGAGAACTCTTGCATCGTGTATGCTTCCTGGCTGTCCTGAATGGATGTAAGTAAATCTTTCTATATGGTCTACTATCGCCATCAAAACAATGCTATAAAATCCTTTTCGATTAATATAATGATTGTGATATAATGTTTTAGGTTGCTGGATCGGAATATGTGATCTGTCTACAGCACCAATTACATTTGGAAGCTGATTCATATATTCTGGAGGAGAAAAACCTTCAACTGTTTCTTGGAGCACATCATCTGCAGGCCACCAAATAATTTTTTTAAGCATATCAAGAATAGACTGAAAAAAATATTGAGTAAAATTCTGGATTGAGCCTTGGCTAATGCCAAACAAGGTTTCTAACTGACGATAACCTATCAGATTTGCAAGCCATTGCAGAACAATTCCTACTTGAATTTCGATATGTGTTTGAGTTTGGAAATTAGATAATTAATAAATAGAATGTTGAAAGATTACTTCTAATAATCTATGAAATGTAGATTGTTTGATGCGAAAATAAGCTCTAAAATTATTGTGCTCATTCTTGTCATTAAGATAAGGGAAAATGTCAATCCAAAAACCATATGTCTTTGGATGTACAATCTGTCCAACTTGTGAAATAATTCTCTTATTTTCATTTTTATTATCAATGAGTACAAGGGCATCCATTTCTAATAGTAGTATATATTTATTTCTCTGAGTAATAGTAGATTCAGTAATTGTAGTAATTGTGGTAATAATAATAGATTTTTGTTTTCAAGTAAGTGGCATGTTTTATTAGTAAAAATTTTGACGAATGATATCGGCATCAACACTTTTTGTAATTTTTTAATTACAAATAAATTAGATATGCATATTTCGTAAATAATTAATTTTCACATGATATTGAGTTACGTCAATTTTCAAAAATGAAAATGGTCAAATCTAACTGTTGAGAGGTTATTTTTCCCACTTTCCATTTCAGAAAGGGGAGATGAACTGTTGAGAGCGACCTAAATATAAGTAATAATATAAATTAAAAATAGAGTTAATTATAAATAAGATTAATTAATATAAATTACTTATTTGCCCGATTTAGTAGTGATCGGCAATTACTGCGCCATGTATACTGCGCCACATGAATAGGTGATTGGTTACAATATATAATTTGCTTGATTTTTTCTATTTCTATAATATTAAAAAGTTTATAGATTTTTCTAGCTCTAAGAGTTTCTGTTGCAAATTTGCATCTGTAATATCAAGAAATAACTGTTTAACTTTCTTATATACCAAATTCTTATATACCAAATTCTTTATTATTTTAATCTTAACTTTATTATTAGAAATAATCTCATTAATTCTTTTATTATATCTTTCTATATAATAATATCAATACAAGATTTCTTCCTGATCAGATTGAATTGCTTTTCGAAATATACAAACTATACTTTGTGCTATAATCAGTAAGTTCTGATTACTATTATATTTTTTCTGGAGATTGGCAAGATAGATAGTTCTTGTTTTAAATCTTGTTCTACAATCTGGTTTTTTCAGAAAGATCATCATTATATTTGATTGGATCTGTAGAATCAGAATTAATAGATGGCTTAGATAGTGACAAGGATTCATCAAGGTTTTGATCGTGAATTTTATTCACAGTTTTTTCTGATTCTACTGAAGATAAGTCCTGGTTCCGAGACTTTTTTTCCTTGCTTCTTTCTCTTATCATATTACTAACTCTTTCCCTATCTTTCGAATCCAGGGATTCATCGACTTCTTTATCTTCAAACGATTTAGTCTCTGTGATTATGAGTTGATATATATCAGAATCAGACGCGCGTTATCAGATGTGTTCTCTATCTGTTCGGGCGAAACAATTTTCTCAGGGGTATCACTTTGTGCCTGTTCTAGATTCACAGAGCTGGTACTATCATCCTTGTCAGAATGGCCATTAATAGACGATGGAATAGGCTTCTGTGGAGTTACTGATAATGTCGGAAAAACTGAAGACTGCGAAGTATCATTAACAGTTCGATTTTGCTTTATAATCTGTTTTAGCTTGGTATTTTCGATCCTAAGATTAGCAATTCTATAATTGTTTTAATTAGTGTTTTCAGCTTCAAGTTTAGTCAAGCGCTTGATGACACGTTTTTATATAAGACAGATTTATTTAAATTATCGAGTTGAAAAAAGTACGTGCGTGTGAAGAATCTTCACGTCGATCGCTTTCACCAAGAAAGATTTATTCGATTCCCGCTTGCTTAATTTCCTGTAAGTATTTTTTCCGCTATGCGCACAAGCCTAATAAAAAATTGGCTGGCAATTTGTCACACCGATCAATTTTCCAAGAAAAATTATTAGTTATATACACACGAAAAATAGCCTGCCCTTGGCAATTTATGATATATTGTTTGTCCCAACCGAAAAATCTTTATTAACAAGTATGGAATAAATACATGATATTATATACACTAAATACGTGGACATCTATTTTCCAATCTTTTCTTGCACACGACGCACGCCATTACCCTATCTTTCAATAATGCCAAATCCCGCAAATTTTCTTGTTTTCGTGAGATATTCCGTGCAATATAAACAAACTGAAATGAATTTAGCAAGAACCTGATTATCATGTGATATTTATTGTCCAGATGATCTTTGAACCACCACGACACGTACGCGTTTTGTAATCGAATTCTGAATTATTTTTTTGTCGAGATGGCACAACCCGAATGGCATAGGTATTTTGACGACAACGATGTTGATGATTGGAGCGTCCTCGGTTTTCATGAAACGTGGATACGTGAAAATAAAGACGATCTAAAAAAGCTAAACTATCAAAAAGCAAATGATAGAATCACAAAAAGTCTACGTTCTCTTATTAGCGATTGTAAAGATGAAATGAAGACGCAGAAGGCTGCGAAACTTCTAGCGAATAAGGCAAGTACATCAAGTACTTTTTATAATAGAGTCAGTGAAGATGTGAACTGATGCCACACTAGGAGGAATCAACTGTTTGCTGGTTCTCTGATATCCTCCTTGGACGTATATTGACAGTTGTCATGCTAGGAGAAATCAACTGTTTGCTGATCCTCCGAATGCCTGTTTGGATGCATGACTTGTCACAATGCCGATATCGGTTGTCCATGCTAGGAGAAATCAACTGTTCGCTGGTTCTCTGAATGCCTGTTTGGATGCATGGCTTGCCACAATACCGATATGCGTGCGGCGTGGGACTAGAGTTATATTTATTGTACATTATGTATTACATCGCTTCTCACTCCATTTTTCTTACAAAGGGCAAACGTACTCACGGAAGTGAACTTGACGAATTGTGGACTTTTATAGATTATCAAAGATTGGCACAAGCGAAATTGAATTATGAACAAGTAAGTCTATGAATTTGATTATTGTCTATTTCAAATAAGTATTACTTATTATAATTTTAAATTATCTCCTTCATCTAGTTTGATAATATCACAAAATATTCACACGCTTTGACTGGTGTTGCAATGAGAAACTTAAACACCCTTATACCATCAACGTTACCATGTAAACGGCCATTTGAAGATCTCGAGTCAGAAACAATAAATTTAGCACAGGTTATAGGACAAGGATCAAATATAGCTTTTAATTCGCAACCAAAGGGAATGAAGACACCACCATCCAGGCCTCCAAACGTAGATACTCTTCTTTCTACTCCGGATAAGTAATTCGGTGAGATCTATATTATAGTAATATCTAATTTAAAGCATTCTAATCTGATTACTTTACTATATATTAGTTATCTTGATGCAATGGGACAGTCGTTGAAATACAACCATAGTTGCGTTCCGACACCACCTATATGGGCTAATATAGAGAGTTATCTTGAAAATGGTTTAAAGGTGAGTTCTCATAGATATTGATTCGTAGAATATTGGAAGGGAAAATATTTGATATCCTTTTGCTTATTTTTACAGAAGTCGGGGAGAGATTTTAAGAAGGCTATCATGCAAGAAATTGAGGGAGTTGATGAGAGGATGTTTCGTCTATACTGTGAAAAAATACTGATCGATTTGTGAGTTTTGCTGTTTATTGCTACTTTAGATAAATAGATATTTATTTCTACTTCTTGGTTCTAGTTAGATATTTTTCCCTCGCTTTCAAGAAAAATCGGGGAGAGAAAATATATTGTGCAGAATCTCTCTTCGCTTTTCAAATTTTATGAAACAACATTTGGAAATATAACCTTTGATTGGATCGAATCTCATTCCCGATCAGCCAAATTGACAAAATCACAAACAAGCTCTGGAATTGTTAAGTGGGATGCGAAAGGTAAATATTTTTAATGAATTTATTTTATAATATTTGACACAATGAAATCATTGCAGTGATATCTTGAATCTGATTGCAATTTTGCTCGAACACTTGAATATTTCTATAAAGACTGCTACAAACATAAAAGTATTCAGTTTGCAAGCCATCGGTAGGTATCTATATTATTTTAAAAAGTGAGGATTTCAAGTTATTGGTTAATATTATTCCTCATTATTAGGTTGTCGAATTACACTGTATTCTCTTAGCGTAACTGAAGGCGGTTCCTTTTTGTCATCCGAACTAGCCTCTGCCATAATTCCTTTTTCATTCGAAGCTAGATCAAAATACAAATCAGTTCTTTATCTTATGGCAATTTTTCACGTAAGTAATTATGCAGATATTTATTTTATTCAGGATGAATTTATAAAACAACTTTCAATCATGCAAGAACTTGATTTTGACGTAACCATAATGAAGGAGCTACAGTTCGGGATGTTTTAAAAATTCCCATATCTTTACGGGATCTTTTACAAAAAGACAACATTTATAATCACAGTTAATGATAACCTATCTAGTTTAGCTTTGTTTCGTTTACGATGTTAAAAAATCAAAGCTACCATACATTTCTGTATCAGTGAATAATAGAGGGAAAATTTATGATCTGCTTTCGTAATTTTTTAAAATAATCACATGACAAAAACCGTGAATAAAATTCACAATCAAACTTCCGACACGAAAAAATAATTTTGATACAAAAGCAGATCGAAAAATATTTTTATTGTACACATCTCAAAAGACCAAACAAAAATTAATGCTTGGAACGGATTTTATATGAAAGATAAAATAAGTCTTTTTTGCTTTTGAGAAGATCTATATTGATATCCTAAAGAAATAAATTCCTGAGATCAGAGACATGTTAAAAAATACTTAGCAGTTTCAATAAGATAATGATCCGAAGCGCACAAGTGATATGGTGAAAGAATATCTTCAAAATAACTTCTTAAGAGTAATTAATTGGTTATCCAAACAGTCCTGATCTAAATTTTATTAAAAACTTATGAAGTATTATCAAGAGGAATATAAAGATATGATAATCAAAAAATATTAGTAATTTATGAAGAAGAAATAGATAAAGATTCTCCAATATCTTATCAATAATTTAGTGAGATTTATGAAAGAGTGTTATAAACTTATTATTGAAAACCATGATAAATATATTTCTTATTGATTTTTTTTAAAATAATTTCATACTTTTTAGCTTTTGAATGAATTATTAAATACATGATTTTAATCAGTCATTATGATGCAATAGTCCAATGATTTTGTCCAAAGACTTTTGTATTCACATGATTTTTTTGAAGAATATGTGTACAGTCAAATCTCCCTAAGTGCATCCTCCTGAAGACTGATCATAAACATGCATTTAAAGAGAGTGTGCATTTAGAGAAAATTATAATAATCAACCGATCAAATAGTGATTTTAATCAATACTGATCAGCCTGATGAATAATTTAGTGATATCATGATTTATAAAATATAATAAAACTAATTTTCTTTATTTAAAGTACTCATCTATGCAAGTCTGATAAGCTAAACTAATTATTTTTCCTCTAATAAATTTTTCAAGAATATTGATTAATTTTAATTGTTCATCTGAATTCTCTTGTTGAAGCAAAAATATTTGAACATATTCCAAATTTTTTAATGCTGAACTGCCACTTTGATATTATCATCCTCCTCTTCATCCATTATTTTAATATTCTTCTTTATATTTTCATCCTTTTTGAATATATATGCAAGCTCTCTAATAAGCTGATCATCTGGAGAAACTTCATAAACAAGATTCTTGTCATTAATAGTAAGGAACTTATTAATATTCATTACATTAGGAAGATAAAGTGCATCAAGTATACTAATAAGCTCATTAAATGTTAAATTATTAGTTCTATAAATGTTATCCAAAAGATTATAAATATTCGCATTAATACTAACTGGAAGAATTCTTGTATGATACCAATAATTATATATGATTTCAGCTGAAACTTCTTTTTAAATCTTGATAATATACTGAATTGCTTGAAGAATATTTATTTTTAAATTTTGTATGAGATTATCTGCTTTAACTTGCTCTAACATCCATCTAAAAATTGAAAAAAAAATTAAAATAAATATTAATAATCATAAATAACTAAAGATCTGGGTATATTAATAAATTACAAATAGTTATTTTTCATGAAAAATATTAACAATTAATAGATTTTCTCATTTTGACCTTAATTATTGATAATAAATATGTATATATATCACCTTTCATTCAAAAGATCTCTAGATAATTATTATATTAGTCTTAATAATAACTTTAATCTTATTTACCTAATACTATGTATCCAATGATCCACTCATTCAAAAGTTAATAATCCATTTGCTCAATACTATAATAAAATAATAATATAAATAGATAGAAAAAAAATACTAACTAGAGATGAAAATGATGATAGGCTTTTTTAAAAGCTATTATTATTTTCGTATCTATAGGTTATATTCTCAAAGTCATATTTAAAGGAAAAAAATAGATATCTATATGTCGAAGAGTTAAACTTACTATAATATAACTAGAGTAATTATCAAGAAATAAAAGAACATGCTGGCTATTGTGCTTTTATAAGATTTGGAGATCAAATTTATGAAGCCACTCTTGAAAAAGAACTATAAGCATCCAAGTCTTGGCATTATTTTGATATGTTATGGACAAATTCTTAAGATTTATATTTTTAAAATACTGAATTGGCATACTTGTCAATTATAAGAAGATTCAATTTGTAAGATCTATCAGTATTTATACATAATGCTATAGAGAGATGCTTCTTATTTTTTTTACATTCAGCAAGATGTTATGTTGCTAAGATTTGATCTGGTTTCAACCTGTAATATGATTAAAAATTAATAAAAAAAAATAATTAAAAAAACCTACTGGTAAAAAAGTCCAGTTTCATCTATATTATAAATCTGGTCAAGAGGATATCCAGTACATATATTTTGTAATAATGGTAGAAATTCAACAATAATATTTTGGTTGACAGATGATGCTTTTCCATGAAGCTTTCTTTGATGAATTCCATTTTGATTCTTAAATTTTTGTAGCTATTCAAAAGAAAATTGTACTTACCTTCAGGAACCCCAAGTTCATTCACTAATAATTTGGCTTTTTTGATTATAATAGTATCGCTTAGAATAGTTCAATGCTAGTAAATTAATACAAATTCCTTAACTGCTAGCTCAAGTTCTGGAATGGTAATGGATTTATAACTCTTGGCTTCTGGACTTATAACTTCATTAGAAAGTTATTTTTCTTTTATCAGAAAATTTTTTGGGGAGATATTCATTGAGAATTATCACCATATCTGTAAAAATCAATAAATATCTCTCTAAAATATCAATATTAATCAATGACTCTGATGATCTTTAATAAATATTTATATCAATAATAATTGATCATTATTAATATATTATTTATCAATATATAATAATATATCAATTATTATCACAATATATTATTT